TACAATTTGCGAATTCTTAACAAATTTTACACCAAAACGCAGCTGTTCACATGCACGATATTTTCACATGCTTTTCAGCACAGTAATTTGATGCATGATCCTCGTGCAATTCATCTGCATAAGGTTTGCAGTTGGTTCCCCCAAGTTAGTGGAGAAATTCATCTTTGATGTAACCACATCTATATACATAATATATAGTGACTGCTTTAAGTGAGTGTAAACTTTTGATGGGAAGTGCATGTTGTTTATATCTTTATATGATTGTGTATTAATGGTAAGACCACGAAGCCTTCTCCCAAGTGCATCCCAAACGTGCTCTATTGGATTAAGGTCAGGGGACCTCGATGGACAGTCCATGACGTTGATTCCAGCGTTTTGAAGGAAATTTCGTGTCAACATTGCGGTATGCGGCCGAGCATTATCATGCTGGAACTGTAGACCTGGGCCATGAGCCGCCATGAAAGGAACGAGTTCAGGGGTGAGCACCTGGTCGCGGTAAGCAGCAGCTGTGAGGTTTCCACGGAGGACCAGAAGTCGGGAACGGTTGTTCCCACAGAAAGCACCCCACACCATGCAACTTCCGCCCCCGAATCTGTCGACTTCCTGTACACAACATTTGGCATACCGTTCACGACGTCGTCTCCAGACTCAATGCCTGCCGTCAGCGAATCTGAGGGTAAACCTGGATTCATCGCTAAGACGACTCGATTCCAGTCTCTCTGGGTCCATCGGAGGTGACGTTGGGCCCACAGCAGACGTTGACGTTGATGAAACGGCGTCAATATTGGCCCACGATATGGACGTCGAGAATGGAGATTGGCAGCCCGCAACCGATTTCGAATGGTCTGTGAGGACAGTCGACCTCTAAACATCTCAGCCCTGGTTCGTGTAGCCGGCAGAAATCTGTCACGTAGGTGACGTAGGACGATTTGACGGTCTTCTGCTCGTGACGTCACACGTGGACGACCCGACCTTGGGCGATCAGAAGTGGTGCCAGTTTGTTGTAGACGACCTCGCAAGTCATACACAGTACGACGGCTGCATCCCATTGATCTTGCGACGTCAATAACTGATCTTCCCGCTTGCAACATGCCAACGGCACGTTCACGTTGCACATTTGACAATCGTGGCATTTCAAGTACCGTTAGAACTGTGGTTTAAAAGTGTTTTTTCAATTCTTGAGGCCAATGCAAACACGTGCATATGAAGAAAACTTCGATGCGAAGATCACGTGATCGACTGCACGTGCAAAACCTGATTTGGCACTAACGTCATTTGCACGACGAATGGATGGGTTTGAGTGGGTTTTGCTAACGTTTTTCTAGAGTCGAAAGATAGGGATCCCATTTCGGATACATAGATGTATCGTCAGGGAAAAATTATTCATTATTTTTCAAATTACATTTTGTGAAGTTTCTTTTTTGACTCAGTATATGACTGTGTATAAATAGCAAGTAAAGAACTAAACATTACCACAACGAAAACAGCAGTTCCCTACCCTGGACACACATTCGAGTATGCTAACTTTTCCAAATAGAGGTGTATTGAGGTTGTGTATACGTAATAAATACTCTGAACCATTTTAGTGTCAGTATTTTACCCCGTCTGTACTTTTGTCTTATTTTCATTATGAAATGCTTGATATTAGGTTCAGTCATATTTAACCATGTAAATGCAAGCGGTGTCGTTTCTGCTGCTTATGTGCTTCAACCCCATATTGTCCAGATAGCCATGCTGTGTCTCTGAATAATAAGCTTACAGAAATACACAAAATATTGCCGACCGATATACACGAATGTACTGGTTTGGAATGAGGGATGTCTCGGGGGCTGTTACATTTTGCCTCATACTTGTTGAAGTGGAGAGATACTGTGTGAACAAACTGTGCAGTTTGTGGTCGAGCGAATGACATCCGGACCTCGACGTTGAAGAAACAACCTGAAGCCACAATTGAATTCGATCACGGGATTGTCTGGCCCCGACTCGATTATTTACAGACCACCGTCATGTAGCTGGAGTATTGCCGAGTGCGGCGTTAAACAAACTAACCACCACAGTGGGGTCATAATACGCCATGGCCATCGATCTTCCTTGAGTTACAACCAGGTGTTCTAGTGTGTGTAATTCCTGAAACAAATATATCCAGGAAAGCCCTTGCAAGTCAAGATTCATGATGTAGCAAGTCTAGATAACGAGTTTCGGGAAAAAAAATCTCCTTTTCATTTTATTTTATGATTATTATTTATGAAGTTTTTTTCAGTAAGATATGTTCATTGCAGAGACTAGATGTTAGTCTAATGGACTGTTTGTGTCATTGGAATGTCCTTTTGGGAGCGTATCAGTTATGTATCTGTATTAAGGAAAAGAAAGTTTTTAAAAAAATCTAAAACACATCCTCCTCTCTTTATATACATGCGTGGAGAGTCATGTAAGATACAGCGACAGTAAACGTGGACTTACATTTATTATGTGTTTTTTAATGTTTAATTTGTTCGATACAAAGCATGTACACGTATATGCCATTATTCATTTACGTTACCAAGTTACCTTGGAGAGCATGGTCTGCTACTAAGTTCCGGTGTGGGACGACATCATTATGGTAACGGGTGTGTACGTGTTTGGTTTGTTGTTGTTGTTTTTGGGGGTGTTTGTTTGTTTGGGGGTGGGGTTTGAGGGGGTGGAGGTGGGTTTGTTTCTTTCTTTTTGGGTAGAAACACCACTCTTTCAAAATTTCTATTTTTGTTCCCCTCATTTCTTAATAAGTGTACTATCCCGTCGGCGAAACACTTTAGTTGTGGGTGCGACGTTAAATAAAGCAAATAACAACAATGACTTCTTTGAGAGGCATTGTAGAAGTTATATAGATGAAGGAAAACCAAGTTCTATGGATAGTCTACTTCTTTCGTTGCAATAAAGAAGTTGACTATCCATAGAACTTGGTTTTCCTTCAACTAACAATAATTGTAATATCAAGTTCCATAGCAACTTTTTAGTGGGGAGTGTTTGAAATTGGGGCCGATATTTTTCGTTTGTGTATTTGTTCATAAGACAGAGAAACACATCGCAGCCAATTAGAAGCTTGACTGGCATTTTAGAAGATGTTATTTGATGAACATGGAGATTTTTCTGGGTAACATCTCAACGAATAAAAACGAAGATGTAACCCAGAAAAATCTCTATGTTAATGCAGCAAATTTTCATTTCATTCGTTTAGATTGGCGACTATCCAACAGCAGCATGAATTATTAGGGTTGCGCAATATAACCGGTTTACCGGTATTTACCGGTTCAAACATGAAAACGATACGTATTGCGATACGCTGATCGAAAACCGGTATTTTGACTTGCATTCGGAAAACTTCGTAACACTCGGAAATCTTCGGTTATTTCCTTTTTTCATTTGTGCAAAATATTATTCACATTTTTATTTGTAATCATGAATAAAAGCTGTAGTTAAAGCTTAATCAAGCATAGTGATTTTGCTGTGTATTTGCTCTATAAATCAAGCAATACCTAGTAGTTTTTTGTTTAAAAATACTTCATGCAATATATTGCAATACATATCGCAATACATGCTTTCGCATCGCAATATGAAAATTCTCTGCAATACCCACCCCTATGAATTATATTATTGGTCTGGGATTATATTTACGTGTGTTTGTTGATATTAATGAAATGAAATGAGTATCTGCACCTGGTATGTTGCATGTTTGATCATACAAAAGTATGTATTGAGTTTCGATCAAAATCATTAAAGCATACATAAAATCAACGAAAGTTCTCGATATGATGCCATGTTCCAGTTTGCAACTACTTACAGAAATTATGATTCAAATAACATTCCAATTCACAATAAAGTACATAAATGTATATAAATCTTTATATCAGAATATTTCTTTCATTAAAGAATAAAGGCAACAAATAGATTTAAAGCATGATTGGCTGGAAAGACATGATAGGAAATCAATTAACTTAAGCTTGAAGCAACCAATGTCACACAGATCGTACCGCTCATCAAATGGGTGTACCCACCGACAGCTATCATGTTTGCTTTGAAGGTTCAGTACGACTCACTTTCAGGGTTTTGTTTGTTGTTGTATTATTATTTTTTTCATTTCATCTGTTTTAGGCTGAAAAGTTCCAAAGCCAGTTTTGGAGATATCAAGAAATTAACCAACTTTATACTGTTTCACTGAAGGGGTCGTTTTTGGCACTGGTACAACAGATATACAGCATATGTACGTTTCTGTATACAGAAAGGTACCCTAAACAAAGTCAAAATACATAACTGAGAGACCATATTTCTCAACTCAAAACAAAATAGGTTCATACTATAATTCCCGTTTGCCTTGTTAAGAGTGGCACTGTACATCTTGAAAGTCACTGTGTTTGCTAATTCGTATATAAAGCAATCAATTGCATCTCATGCAATAGTATGATTGTTCAGACCAAGAAAACGGCGCGGATTGGAGTCGTTCTAGGGTACATTTCCGGTATTCTCTCTTAGGCTTGGCTATGTTTCTGTATGCAGAAATAGGTTGTGTAAAGAAACGTACCATGGTTACATATCTGTGGTACCTGTACACATAGCAGCCCCTTCTGCCTCAGTTTGAAGGTGAAACAATGCTATTACATTAATCAATGGATGCCTATCAGCGTGATGTGTATTTGTAAAGTTGAACATGTGTGTTTTCATGCTTCTTTTGGCAACATTCCAACACCAGGAACAGGTTTCAGCATTTTGTACTCATTTTTGGAAAGTGAACATGTGTTGTCGACACGGCAAGTTAAATCTCTAAAATCAGTTTAACAATCTTGTCATTTTAATAATACGTGGGTATGAGTACTGCTGGTCCTACACAAGGCGATCACATCACCAGTTCCAGCTTCCTTCCAGTGACATCCTTCTACAAGACAACAGCACATTCTAAAGATAGTTGAGAGTAGCATCAAACAAAGTGCTTGTCAGGGCACTTCTCAGAACAAGTACAAACACAGTGATGATGTTGTTGGAACAATTTCATTGTTTTTACTGCAAAAGCTTCTTATTTGCATTGTTTCTGAGATAAATCCAAAAATAGAACATTAAAAGGCCAGCAACCAACATTACAATCTCTTCTTTCTTCTGCATGTGGATTATCACAATGTTAATTACCTTAAGTGCAAGACAGGCAGGGTTTAGGGTGCATTTAGAGGCAATCAAACTCATCATCAACAAGGAAACACACATTAAATAGGGAACTAAATAAGGAGGAAATATGTCAGACCAACTTCGTATGTAGTCTTGCCTTTCAATACCATTTGTAATTCCCTTCATTGCACAGTCACCAGTGTATTGGATACAGCAAACCTCATTTGACACTTTGGAAACCTGTTAGGAGTTTGTTAAAATTAGAAGGGCTATAATTTGCCAGCCAGTAAACACAGTATTATGAAACATGCACTGATCAGAAAAATAATCATACATTATCACTAACCAAGATAAATCTGAACAAAATTGGTATTTCTTACTCACTAAAGTAAACTTCTTTTTTTTCAAAATTAACATTTCACCAGATAATATAAGAAATTTAGAATGAATTCACTTAAAGTGACCTATTTCCATCATACCAGGACCTGCATGAACATTCACATAACACAATTAATTATTACATGTACTTAAGGAGCTGAATGTACACATGCTTTGATAACAGATCTAATTGTTTCTTGATATTTTCCTCTTAGATCTAGTGACTCATCCAAGTTATTTCTGAAGATACATTAACATTACAAATTAGTGAGTTCACATTCACCAGAATTTTGTCTACAAGGAGTATCCAAAGTAGTATTATGCAATGTTCCAAAATAAACAAGAAATAACAAGAAACTATTATCATGATCATGTGTAATCCTTCACAAAAATCAATCACTCTTAGACTTGCAATCTCAGTATGCCATATTAATAACCATTACTATCATAAAAATATTCATCAATCTTATTACATCAATATAAGCAATTTATTCTATAGTCATACAATACATCATATCATGTCAAATAAGAATTTAGCAAGAAGTATTGATTGTGTCTTAAAATCTGAGGTCTCAAAACTGATATAACACAAATTTGGCAAAAATAACCACATGCTACCCTGGTAAATAATTTGATCCGAAATGCTCATATTAGATGAAGACAACAAAAGACCTGCCGCATATATAATTATAGATACATCTTCAAATAAAGAAACATAACTTCTGTCAGAATATATAATATAGATGCATGAAGATATCTTAGCATTATCAGTGGCAAATTGTCAACAAGAGTTGTATTGCAGCTTGGCTCTGGCATAGATTACAAGTACTTATGAGCAAAATTCCCATCAACAGCGCATTCAAAACATCAATCAAGATATTTGCTTTCACATGGCAACTAGAATGAACTTCAGATCAATGTACAGGAAAGGTAATCACAAATTCTTGTTCAGTTTCCAGTGAACAGACTCAATGAAATTTTCTTTTGCTACTTCACTTGCACATGCGTATGTACCTCAGACCAACATACAGGAAAATTAATCACAGATTGCAAGGCACAGCTACAAACTACACAATGCTGAGCACTTTTTTTTTCAATTCTGCCATAATAAATACTACAAAACACTGTCAAGGTATCAACTCTTTAGCAGTAGAGTTGGAAGAGATGACAAAATTATATGCCAGATGATAATTGTGAGTAGTCCACTTGCTAAGGTGTATCAGCATAACATTCTTCATGTCATAGGAATTAGTTAAAATCACTGGTAAGTTTACAGCAAGATTCAGTATCGCAGTGCTCTTGATTTTTAAGCCTGTAATACTGTTGTTCATAATAAGAGAACTGGAACTTGCAGAACTATTGCAAAAGGTAAAGTCATGTAACAGAATAACAAACAGTGTCAATGCCACACCACTTGCAGGCTCAAGCAACAGGAGTAATGAGCAAAGGTCCCATGGAATATGCACAATGTTGGGACTGTACTCTCTATAGAATTCAGTACATATATTACAAAGTAACCCATTCTAGTCCAAGATATAGTCATGTCTCTCCTTATAGATATTCCCCAAATCTTGTCCAAACGCTTTTGGACTATCTCCTGATTACCAGTGACCAAGGTAGGGATGCAGAGGTTTCCTAGGAAGACTAGATGTGAGTGATTGTTGTCCTACAGTGGTCAGGAGCCCATGTTTCCAAATGTCTCGACCATTTGCCTACTATAGGCCTGACTTAAGTACAGCTAGGCTAGATCCATCTATTTGCATACACAGACATTCGGTAATACTGGGAATGGGTTCAAGCAGCAATGCACTTTGCTGTGTTTAGGAACATGGCAGGCTGTAATAAACCTCCATCTACTACTGTTTCACTCTCAAAAACTTCATGGATTGATGTGCACAGCTAGATCAGATACTTCCCTGGGATACCCAGAGACTGTTAATTCTTCACACCTGCTGTTATGAAAGACATTTGGCATGTGGATTAGCCTTTGCTCGGTTGCTGATTGTTCAAAGCAGTATTGGATGAACTGCCTGACGACTGAGGTGCCTGTGCCTGTTGTGCAGGCAGCTGTGATGATGTTGGAAGCTGCTGTGGCTGCTGTTGTTGTTGCTGTTGCTGAGACTGGACAGGAAAGGCATTCTGCATGGGAGCAAACGATCCATGTGCAGCAGAAGAGTTAACTGTTTGCGTCTGGGGGTTTGCCATCATTCCTTGGAACGAGCCTGGCAACTGAAATGGCTGAGATATTTGCTGAGCATTGGCACCTGGAATAAAGCCTTGATATTGAAAGGGGAAAAAAGGTGGTAAGCCCTGGTGAAGATATGGATGCATCATCTGATGGTGAGGTTGTTGTCTCAGCATTTCTGGAATGGAAGTCGGCACGGAGGAAAGATCAACACTGGATTTCCGACTACTCTCATTTGAACCTTCACGGTTTTCACCACCCATTCTATCAGACGTTTTCAGGTCTGAAGTCTCTGTGTGCAGCTTAGCTGCACTCCGCACACGATTAAGATGCACAGAACTATCAGCTGGGGCACTAGATGAGGCTTGTAAACTCAGAGAGTTGTCCCAAGGACACTCCTGTTCCTGTTTCAGTTCATTTAGGGATTTTTTGGTTTCAGGTTTGGCTGTAGAATGTGTGTTTGATCGACTGAAATCTGCATATCTTTTGAACAGATCCTCATCAAATGTACCTTTTGGCTTTTCTGTCTGCCCTTGACCACCTTGATCAACCTTTTGGGAAGTGGCAGTTGGAGCTACTGTCCGTGCTGACCCCATGGACAGCAATGCAGGCGACATTGTATGCACAGTCAGTGGACTCATCATTGGAGATGCCACAGTATGTGGCATCATGCTAGACAAAGATATGCCCTTATTTTTCAGAAAATCCTCGATCTCTTTATTGTGCTTCAGGTGCAGTTCTTCCATCTGCTTCTTCTGTCTGTAAAAGATACATTATTTTAGAAATCATTCTCTGAAGTGGTAATTCAAATGACTGACTGACTGAGTTTAGTTTTATGCCGCTTTTAGCAATATTCCAGCAATATCATGGCGGGGAACACCAGAAATGGGCTTCACAAATTGTGCCCATGTGGGGAATCGAACCCGGGTCTTCGGCGTGGTAATTCAAATGAACTTGCACTGGATCAGTTGAACTAAATATCTTTTCCTAACCTTATATATATATTACTAAAATTCATAGTATCAGAACATACAATCTTGCCCGTCAAAAATGGCATCATAGTGTGGAAATGTGGTCGTCAGTCTCAGGAAGGAATATTGACCTCATTTCATTCTGGAGCATGAACAGATTTCACTGTCAAGAGTGTAGAAAATGAGTAGGTTTCTAAGACATAGTGCAAAACTCTAGTTACATATGTTTGCTTTGGAGTCTCACCTCAAAATCATATTATTGTACTCTGGATCATGATGTAGAACATACATATCTTTTTTGGCTTCTTTCCCTTCTTGAGGCACCACAGACTGTTAATGAAGAAGGTTCCATGTTAATTGACAATACACAATTGTAAACATAATATATCATTAATATATCGTTACTGCCTGACTGAGTTTGGTTTTACGCCGCTTTTAGCAATATTCCAGCAACATCACAGCGGGGGACACCAGAAATGGGCTTCACACATTGTACCAATGTGGGGATTCTATATCGTTACTGATTAAGAGTTAAATGAATACATACAAATTGCCACAACCCTGACCAACCAACCCTGTGAATCAATGCCATAGAAAACTAAATACAGGTTCAAACTAACCTACGAAAACCTATGTGTCTGTAATTTCAGTTGTGCTTTGAAGCTGATTCACAAACACCACGAGGTCAAAAAAACCCAACCCAAATACCCTTCAGACAAACATTTGCAAGACAACAGCAAATTTACCCCATTCAAATGTCTTTCTGTTCATTTACCTTCCTATTTTTTTCTTTTTGGAAGGGCAATGAAGTAATGATGCAGACATTCACTGTATTTCACAAGCCAGCTCTCTCCCACCTTAATCTTGACACTGCTGGTACTGATTACTGGCTATTGTCTAGTGAATCAGAATATTCTGATGCAAACTATGTTGCTGCCAAATTCTAACTAAAGATTCCAGATTCCATCAGAGCGGTCTTGTTCAATTTCCTATCAAGACATAATTCACAGATACCCATTCAGTAACAACATGCTCCTTGACAATAGGTTCAATAGGTCCCAAAATCAAATCAAGAGATTTAGTGCCGACTTTATCAAATGTTAATGCAATATAAGCAAATTTAGGGATAGTGAACTACATAAAGTAACCTTCAGGAATTTTGTTTACATAGGACATACTTTGTTAATGTCGCTTCCAAGACTAATTTTGTTTCTTTATGGTTGACTACTGCTTGTACTCCCTTACCTTCTTCCTCTTTGTGCCCATCTTAGAAAGACGTGGCTCATTTTTGACGACCATGGGAGATGTCTGTGTGCCCATATCAACTGAGTCGGCAGGGATTATGAGCTTATTGCGAGGAGCATTAGCAGAAATGAGTGATGACTGTAATGACAATGAACCTAAACCCATGCATGAACCAGCACCATCTTCAGAAAAAGGATGTGGGGGTGGGAGCTGACCTAATGATATAGAGCGTTTTTTCTTAGCAGTAGCATTTCTATACAACTCTTGGCTATCTAGTGATGCAGCACGTGCCATTTTGTATAAGTGGCTATTACTGGCTCCTACAGAATTATAAGAAGTATCACTATCATGCAACCTTTGCAGAAATCTACTTACACCAGTAGCTTTGAGCATGCCTGCACCTTGTGATCCTTCATCAGTTTTGTTAGTATTCTGAGATGGAATAGATACAGTATCTGATGTGTTAGTGGTCATAACCTCCACCAAATGCCCATCTGCTTCGTCCAGTGACTGAGAAGGACTAATTGTCACATTGTCTTTCACAGTTGTCACTGAGAATCGTCCCTTTCTGGAAGTAATATTTGGCACATTTTCCGGTAAGTTACTCCTGTCAGATTGGTCAAGAGTTTCACCACTACAGGACGCAGAAATATCAGTTTCTGAACTTGTCTGATCTACTGCTATTTTGTCCTCTGTCACTGCCTCAACCGTAAACCGTGACCTCCTTTTCACAGATGTCTGGATTTCATTGGTTGATGACAAGTCCTCATTGGTCTGATTACCATCTGAATGTATATATACGTCATTATTTACAAATCCTCCTGCATAACCATTAGCAGGACTTAGGTCTGTTTGTTGCATTTCATCAGTCATGTGAACACTACCACCTTCAATCTGGCCCCCTGGAGCAGACATTGTCATTATAGGCATTGTATGTGATGCTGTAGTTTGCTGAACATCCTTCCTATTGCCATGTAACTTTTTGATCAATGCTTGCTCAAGGTTGGCTAAATCAGCCTTTCTACTCTGACCATCTGTACTGTGAATAGAGCCATCCGATGAACCATCCTCTGACATTGCTTTCCGAGACTGGCCAGGTGATCGTGGAGGGGAAATAATCTGACCTAAGACACCAGTTTCCGGGCCATGCCCTTGAGCTGGAGCTACACCTTGAGACTGTTGTGAACCCATGGCTGCGGTTGTATACATGGGCATTTGACCTTGATACATCCATGCTTGAGGAATCAAATATTGAGGCAGGGGATTGGGCTGTTGCGAGGACTGGGGCTGTTGCTGCAACTGGTTCATCATGATGTATTGCTGCATCATCTGTTGATGCATTTGCATCTGCAGCATCTGATCAGTACTTGCATAATAGGGTGGGTAGTAGAGGCCCTGATAATGGGGCATCATGCCCTGGTACTGAAGCATCTGCTGCGCACCATGCATGTAGGGATTCATCATAGGCACACCCTGACTCTGTGCAGCTTGAGTGGTCTGACTACTATCTGAAGAAACACCTGATGGTGCATCTTGTGCCTGCACCTGCTGCTGAGTCTGTGACTGAGACTGGAGAGAAGTGGATGGCTGCTGAACATGCGGTGATTGTTGTTGAGGTCTACCTTGTCCATCCATTAATTGACCTTCCATTTGTCCACCCTGAGGCCCAACCTCACCAGGAGTGACTGCCTGACTGCTTGCCTGTCCTGCTACTCTTTGGGATGTCAACTTGGTCAGTTTTTCATGAAGATCAGATATATCGATTGGCACATCAGATCGTGCAGTTGTGCTCTTCCATGATTTCTCATACTCAGGATTGATTGTGTCTGGCTCCCCAACATGGGTAGCGGAGTTGGGCATGTTGTCTGGAGATATTGTATGCTCCTCTCCCTCATCTTCAGTAATCTTGGTCTCCGAAAGGTGCGAATCACAGACCCTGCTCACGATGAACTTCCTACTTTTACTGAAGACCACTGTGGAATCCTGCATCTCTCCACAGTCTGTATGGGATGCAACTCCAGAGCTATCAGTCCCCGCATGGTCAAACTCGAGCCTCTGAAATAGCAAGCAACATGTCAGTTCATGATAAAAACAGATCTGGTAAATTCTGCATCTTAAATAAATTGTACCAATAAAAACACATCTTGACAGTGTTAATTTGAAGAAATGTGTTCGCTTAAGATGTAATTATAATTTTCTTGTTCGTCTGATGTGACTAACCTTAACTGAGTCTCCATCCATGACCTGCCTGACCCTCCTGACTGAGCTGGGACTGGATGTAGGTGTGTTGGCAACACTGACACATATTGACACAGAGGCTGATGGGTCCTGGCCGACCAGAGCAAACACCTGCTGGAGGAGATCTATCACACCATTCACCTGGCTGCCCAGCAACAACTCAGCACCAACCTGAAGTACAAAAGTTTCAATATCAACTGGTGGTTATCCTATAAATGCATGAACTGTACACATTTAAAAAGACAAGATGAATGAGAAATGAGTCAAATTAGCAGTTATGACAATAGTATACTTATCCTGATACAACAGAGCAAATATCCTTCAAACAAAGAACCAAAATATGATTCTCCTCCAAGGGGGCTCTCGCCAACAAGGTCCCCAAACAAGAGTTGCCTCCCTTATCCCTCACACCTGGAAACTGCATGAATCAGACAAGGACAGTGGGGTGGTCCTTTGAATTGTTCTACCAGGATAAGAATACTGAATTTCATAAATATCCTATTTATTGAAATTACTATATATCCTGATAGAACATAATGCAAAGCAAATCTCACAGATGGAGTCTGTGGTTGTGAAATTAGTGTGTTGGCTCCCTTGGCCTGATTATGTCATGGATGAGACTTGCCCACATTTGACTAATCCCTGTACCTACTGTAACATCCTTGATCTGACGATAGAAATGTCAACAACCAGGACACACATTTCACCCATATGGGGAAAATGAACCCTAGCCTTTTTCTTCACAAGGCAGCACTAAGCTACTCCACTGCCCTAGCCAGCAAAGACGTCAGGTACACAAATAGTGGCGAATGCCTCCTGACAGGCCACAAAGGTCAAGGCAATGACATGGAGCGAGAGAACATTGAAGCCCACAAATGCTTTGCAAACTCTTAGAAATGCTACTACAAATCCTTCTTCGCTGACCTCTTCTGCCTTGCCTACTGAACGAGACTCGGTCAAAATTAACAATCTGACCAAAATGTATGGCAAGTGCATTGCTGTTTCTAAGAATTTACCATGTCACCTCAGGGAAGATCGAAGCCATTAATTTTCCTACAGTGAGTGAGTATGGTTTTACGCCACTTTTAGCAATATTCCAGCAATATCACGGCAGGGGACACCAGAAATGGGCTTCACACATTATACCTATGTGGGGAATCGAACCCGGGTCTTCAGCATGACAAGCAGACACTTTAACCATTATGCAACCCCACCACCCCAATTTTCCTACAGAAGTTGAGGGAATGTAGCACATCCAAACAGCATCATAACTAGTGTTGGGAATCGGACGCGGAATCCACTATCGATTATAGGAGGACATGTGGTGAACAATTATCAAAGATAATTGAAATATATACATTTTAAATGTAATCACCAATTTCAAGGGTTTTCCCCCAGGTTTTTTCTAATTAATGTTTTTTTCATAAATAATACTGTCATGCAATGAAATGCATGCATGCAAGAAAGACACTGGAATTGTAATTAAACAATAAAAGTGGTTAAAATTTTACAATGTGCCTAGCATTACACTGTTGAGCGCATGTTTGTTTGTGAATACCCACCAAATTTAATGGTTAGTTTACATCATTCAAGTGTGTTATACTAAAACAACAAAATTCTGATTAATCGAAAATGTTTTTTACAATTGATAATTATTTTCCTTCTTTCAAGCGATTTTTGATTATTTTCGATCATCAGAACACCACTAATCATAACTGGCTGTGGATGCCTTTGTGAAGATGTAAACAGAAGCAGTGCTGTCACTCAGGACAAGGAGGAAAGATTTTGACAGTTCAAGACCATTGGTTGCATCGACAAATGATGTCTCTTGTAGCACTTGAAAAATGAAGTCATTGAGAGCAGTAAACCAGCTGGTGAAGGCTATCTCTGCGATGGTGAGGCCTTTGAGGATGTATTATTGTATTAATACAATAATCAAAGTGATAGTAGTAACAATATTATGAATAGAGATGTTTTGGTCCTGTGTTCAAGAATCAACAATAGGAGGATATTTGCACAATACTGTATCAAGACTATACATACAAAAGTAATAAGTCCACTAATAGAACAATCAACATGGCCTATGTGGTGGCCATATTGAAAACTGGCTTAAAAACATCTTACCAAATCCAGGAGTCAACATTGGTGGAAACAATTATAAGAATGGCCAGATACAATGGATCCAGCTCATAAATCATTATTTAGATGATTCTCACCTTTTTGTCTACAACTGTAACAACAGTGCTCTGGTGAGCAAAGTCTTAGAAGATTATTGTGTCATATGACTTTCAGTCAGGGGAGGTAATAAAGAAAAACAAGTAAATTTCAGAAATGGTATTGTGCCTGAGGCATAATGTGAAGTAGTTTTTCCACAATACACTCCTTCAAGCAAACTTACCAAATTTTCAGCAATCTCCTCAGGTTTATCATTTTCCAAGGAAAATGTGAAAGTGACAGTGTTTCTATTGGATAGCTCCAGCCTGCACTCAACCTCATTGTCAGCACCCACACTGAGAATGGTAGCTCTTGGGAACTTTCTCGAGAGTTTTCCGCCGTTTGGGACGGGACTTCCTCTTTGACTTGTCTTGAGTACTGGATCCTTGAGCTTCATTTTCACTGCAATTGTAAAAACATTGGTTAAATACAAGGGAAAAAAATTCAATGCCATATGCACTAACATACTTGTACAGAATGAGCATAAATTATTACTTACCACAATTTACCAATTGCACAACCTGTCTCACACCCATTTTTTATTCTGAAACATCAATTCACCATTATCAGAAATATAACATAAATCTCCAAGGCCTTGTCTGTGATGAAACATTTCAGCAACTGATAATCTGGAAGAAAATATTTTTCCATTAGGCTAGACAAATAAAGAAAGAAGTAGTTTCCACCATGACAACAGTGACCACAAACTGCAAGGAAAGGCTGCCTACCTTTCTCTGTTGGAGTGTGTTGCATCATCCTGCAAGCAGCCTGTCGAGTGGCTGGAGGGGATCTGGGATGTGCCTGACGTTGAGGACTGAGGTGCAGATGAGCCAGTTTGAGTACCTCCTTGTTGAAGTTGCTGAGCAGCATTGATGTCCAAGTGGCTCAAGTTACTTGCCTGAAAAGTGAAACAATCAGTTACAAACCCCTCTTTCTGTGAAGTTAAAAACCTTGCAAGCCTTCAATCTTCAGCTGGATACTTACTGAATTTAATTAAAAACAGATAAAGAAATGAATGTTCAAATATTACACAATAGTTCTGGAAAAAAGAGCTAGTGTTATATTTACATGTTCTTTCTTAGCAGGTCTATACTGCAATGTTTGAGTTTTTTTCATTTGATATTTACAGTTCATAGTTGCTTTTTGTCATCACTTTGACGCCTTGGTTAACTTTCTCCAAACGATAAATAATAACAAATAATATTGAATAGAATAACTACAAGGGTGTTAATAAAGATTTTACTAGTTTCGAATCAGTTGCTTAAAATGGTACATGCTGAAAATCTATGAACAAGAAACAGAAAAGTAATCAACATTAAACAAACAAATGCATCTTTCTAAGTGTAAAGGCTTAGCAAAGTGCAAAATCTTCAATACAAATACTCAAAACTCATGATGTATTGGTGCAAGGTCTTTTCAATTTAAAAAGATCATGTTGGGATCCTCCTAAAATTTTATTTAAAGTTTCATAATTTTCAAAATATGTAATGAGTGGTGATTGTTAATAGTTGGTGTTTACCTCAAGAAAAAATAATGCAGGACAACTGAATGAGGAAAAAAGGGCAGAGCATCAATAAGCAGAAGTCCCCAAGTTCCAGCTCATGCAAATTTGACTTAGGATTAATTATATTCCGGTATCACAGATACAGATGAACATGACACAGCCATGAGCATGCAAATATTCCTGCCCCTTTTCTCTTTCAGGTATCCCTACAAATACAAGCAACAATGTGTGCAAAAATTATCATGTTTTACGTAAGATGTAGTGCCAAACATCAAACAAAAGGGTCCTGCGTTTTTTTGAGGAAAACACAACTTTTCTCTGGGTATAACCCACAAAATTGTGCAACTTCCAAAATGTCTTAAAGGGGTCTGGAACTAAAAAATAACCAATACAGGCTGGATTGAGATTCATTAGAAACATATTCCTAAAATTGTGTGTGTTAAACTGGAAAACAATTGCAGACAGTAACCACCTGAAATTAAAGAGATATAGGTTAGAAGCAATGACTGCTTTCTCTGGCAAATGTGATATTAAATGTTAATAGGTGCAAACAGCTCTCAGCAACTAAATTCAACCAGCAAGGAAGATAAAAAAAAGTAAATGTGTAGCAATAGATAACAAGGAACTACCATATAAAACCTTTCCTTTACAAAACCAGCAAGAGAATGTAATAAATAATACCAGCCAAACCAAATATTTTGCTACAATATTTTGGTGACAAAGTCCACAAAGCCATAACCTTGAAATTGAAGCCATTAACTACACTACAGAGTTAGTACAGGTTAAATGGTTAACTACATGCAAAGAAACCAAAGTATTTTGTGCAACACACCTTGGCCTGCAATCTGGTTTTTACAGGGGTCTGGGGAGCAGAGTAAGGTCCTTGGTGATAGTGCCGAGAACCTGCCACACCTTTCTGAGGGGACTGCACCTCCTGAGGTGTCAAACTGCCTAACATTCCCTGTCAAAATCAGTTGCTAGTTGCACTATAAACAAGACTCAGCAGGCAGACTGCTGCCCCAGGGGAAAAGCTAAGTTGAGTATGAATAGAGTATAAATAAGTTTCAAGCATAAAGTTTGGATAGAGTTTATGATAAATATAAGATATCAGTTTCGGTCTCTAATGACTCTAGAAGTACCTTCAATACCCCATGGGAAAAAACCTTGTCTCGTACTCGTTTCCAACTTTCAGCTCCTTTATGCTGAGAGAAAAATCAGTGATGTTGATGATAAACTGCTATAGTTTGGTGATGAAGCATGTACATATTGATATTCTTGAAAGCAAATGCTCCACGTCTTGATTGGTAAATACAGTGTGATGAACAGCTGTTTACTGTAACATCACTGTGACATTTATTAGCATACACTGACAACACAAAACTTACTGGTTAATATATTATTTTGGTTAAGAAATTAGCCATTAAATATCCATTTACATGTCAGTTAGTAAAAACTTGACATCAGGCAACCCACAATATTCATACATGCAAGATTTTGTCATCCACATTTGTAGAAAACAAGACACATCCACATTTGTAGAAAACAAGACACCAGTGACATAACGTCAGACGTTTTCTACACAATCAACTAGAAGAAATGATCCTTCTTTCTACAATATATGGATGACAGGTAAGGTCAGAAAGCTGTACTTTTTAACTTTTTAGCTGTGCCTTTAAACATTACGACATTTTTTTCAGATAAGATACTTAAAACAAAAACAAAAACAAAAGTTTTCATGCACTCATATTTCAGGGACATTAGAAGAAAGTCTTAAAGTTATGTTAACATATTTGCACCAAAATAACATTCTTTCAAAAAAATCAAAACAAAATCTTTCTCTTTTATTCAAGACAGACTTCGGAATGTCCCTAAATATAAAGAGGCCGACAGACTCGCTAAGTGATCCAAAAGTTTGTTTTTACCAACCTGCGACACCTGGGATTGTAGAGATGTTTGTGATGTCTGCTGTTGAAATGTTGTTGACTGACCATCATCCTGTCCCATGCCTGATATGCTTGTTTGAACCTGCAACATACAAGTTGCTATGGACTTCAGACAGGAAAGTGGAACTGCAATCATACTCCCAACAATATTTCTGCTATTACACGGCAGCTTGTAAATATATAATGATTGGACCAAGCTATCCTGGTATGACAGAGCTCCAGATGAGCTACATACTCTTCAATATGCACAATAAATCACCAGAAACCAATCCATTTTCATGATCTTTACTTGCTGGTCAAACACAGATATCATGTAACCACGAACACACTATACTGAATAATGCCAAAAAGTGACATGTCTCACTTACTGTATCTCAGATATGTATTACTGTTGTGACCATAACGCTATGTGACACCCTTTGGGATTCACATCAACAGATGGAAACTACCTAATTCTAAACAGAATCATTAATGGGAAAGGTTCACTCTATCGCTGAAGATTACTCAACATATAGGACCCAAGCCAAAAAGAATATGATGAATACCCTACGCAAACTATCAAAACTCAAAGTGAATGACATATCAGGAAAGATTAATATTCTAATTGTATGATGATCAATGCCCAACCATATCATCACCATCTTAGTCGGCATGGTGTCCCTATGTAAATTTGTTTTTCTGTCTGCATCTGGGCTCACACAAGAAAGTTCCTTAGCATGCATGACGTATTTAGGCAACAACTTTGTAGAAGGAACAGAAACAAGTAATATAAATCAAATATATTACAGTTCAACATTTGTTTTGTTTTTGTTACAATCACTTTATATTTCTCCATGACCATTTATTTCTAAATAACATCGTTAAAATTGTCTGTATTAAAAATACAACAAAATTACAAACCTGCTGTGGAATATTTGGAGCTGATCCACCAGACAGTTGTTGTGATTGTTGCAAATTTGGCAAATTAACGTCAGATTTACTCTCCGAAATAGCAGCTGAGACTACAAACAAAACATTAAGGGATATAGGCATAACACAAATATATTTCACAATTTGATGTTGCAGTATGAGATAAAAGGCTTATTATATGGTGGTATTTATATCACATAATACAACCCTCAATCCCAACACAAGCACTGTCTGGCCCTCGGGCTGATATGAGGGTTTGAGGAGACAATCCAGGAATAGATATGAGCATCATCAACATGATATGCATCAACCAGTGAGTGAGTCTGACCACCTCATCCTATTAGTCACCTCTTATGGCAAGCATGGCATGCTGAAGTCCAGTTCTAAACAGGTTCATTTAAAAAAGAATGTTGGAAACTACAAACCATTCACTCCATCCTCTGCTGGTGTCTGCTGTTGTCCACCCCCATCTGCCATGCCCCCTGTACACCAGGTAGTGCACTGAGACCCCCTCCAACCTGTGTCTTACTGACAGCTGGGGGAACCTGCCCCTGGACTAGCTGTTGAGACACATTAGGTTGAGGCTGACCAGGCTGATGACCACCGGTTACCTGGATCTGTGAGGTGGGTAGGGGAGTTGAAGTGTCCATTCCTTGACCAGACACAGGAGGCTGAACTTCATTCAACAACTTCTCTCTCTCACGCTTCACTTGAGCAATTCTTTCACGGATTTGTTTTGTTGCATTACGTTCATCTTCCTCTTGAAGAAATCCAGATTTTACCTTGTTTTGGACAAACAAAATCAAAAGCTATATTAACAGAATTCCAATTTGACAGGTGGACAACTTCTAGCTATATTTACTAGCCCCAAAATGTGAGGGGTTTGAGTTCACAAGCAATAACAAACCAGAGTCCCTGCAATGCTGTCTTGTGGCAATTGTGGTTTAGAAAAAAGCAAGTTTCAAAAACAAATTCAACTGACTATCATTTACTGAGCTTACTGGATCATACACAACTTCACAAGACAGCAGCATTAAGTCACAGACAGATCTTGAATATAAACTGAATAATATTTGGAATACATTGCATAAGACAGTTCCTCTACATTTCATATTTCATACCATGTCTTGAGCAACCTCTTCAGCATTATCCTTTTCCAAATGAAAATCAAACTGGATTGCTTCATTTTCCTTGTGTTTGTCTTTGCGTTTCTTGGGATCAACAACTCGAAGTCTGAGCTGAATGATTGGACGGTCTGCGAGTTCATCATCCCGGTTGACCAACTCCACCTTCAAACCACTGTCTTCCAAGAAGAAGCCATGCTGAAGCAAGTCCTTCACAGTGTACCTTAAAATATAAAGGACAATGTTTTGGGCAATGAGTTTTATCAAATTACCACAGTAATCTTGTTCAAAATGTACTAAAACAATATTCACACACTTGAACACAAACAAGATAGCAATTACATAATAGTTTCACAACACATATGTCCACCCACGACATGTGTCTCAGTAAGTGTGCTTTCAAGCCTTATTCACATTTGCATACCTCCCCTGTACAGAAACTATAAATAATCTTGACAGATTATGCCTTCTGTAAGGTGAAAGATTGTAAGGGTTGACAGGTGACATGTTTCGCAAAACTGCTGTTGCCTAAATATGAATAATTCCTATTACAATTACATGTAAAGCACCTTAAGGCATCATAAATGGTGAATAAAGAGTTCACAAACCATACACACTGTTAAGGACTCCTTGGTGCCGTGACTTTTAGTCATAGCATTCTGTAAGCTTTCTGGTCATTTTTAAATTGGTTCTTGCAATGAATCCCGAACTTGTGACCTTTCGCAAATTAAAGCATGTTGTACTTCTAGAATTCTTAAATTTCAACTACAACATGAACAAAATATATACATTTTCAATTGACAAGATGGATTTCAGATGATAGGAAGCTGCTAATATTGCCTTTTACTACAGATACTTACCTTTCTTCTCTTTTTTGCTTGATACAACCCTCAATAATATCTCTGATTTCAGGATTGTCTACTTTATCACAGGCTTCTGGACGTACACCCTGGAATTAACAGAAAAGTACAATATGCTTATAAAAGATATGAAATGTGTGAACATTTGTGAAAATACTACAAATTTCCCTCAGAGATGAGGATTGTTTGTCTACTGGTTACTAATACACACTCCATCATATCTGAGGATGTCTAAAACCACCTATCAAAAATTATGAATTCACAATGCCTTTTAGAAAGTGAAATGTAATGGGACTCAACCACAATCACTTACTTTGAGACCCTTCTGACAAGTGTAAATTGGCATGGTTCCATCGCCTAAAGGTACGAATTCCCAATGCCTTTTAGAAAGTGGTCAAATGTAACATGTTATATTCGGGATCATACTTTTTCAGTAAAGTACAGATTTCTAGTATTTTTTTAACACACTCTGAGAGTGAGTGTTTAAATCCCAGATGGGACTCAACCACAAAAAGTACAAGAATCTGTACTTCACTGAAGTGTTATCCAAGATATAACTTGTTACATCAGGTATTTAGTGAAGAAAGTGTCTGGGGACTTACACTGGTAACTTTTCTGTAGATTTGAGCAGCATTAGAACATTCCTTGTATGGGTACTCTGACGTCGCCATCTCAAGCATACACATTCCGAAAGCATAAACATCTACTGCCTCATCATAGTGTTCTTCATACATTTCGGGTGCCATGAACTCCGGCGTACCTTAAAGAATACAAAGATCGTGGAGTCTTTGCATCCTGACGCTGCAGTCTACAAAGGGAAGAAGGGGGATGGGGAAGACAAGATTAGTACATGGTTTCAGCCACAACCAAATAATCCTGAAACAAACTGGCATTAGCTTCACAATATGCAAGATCAAGAATAAAGGACTGATACCTGCCATTGAATTCCAGTTCTTACCTGAATCTGGATGTCAGATGAACAATCAAATAAGTGTAGACTCTGTTGCTAAAGGGAGGAATGGGAAAAAAAGAGGGAAAAATTGTCAGGATAAAGACTTTGAAACACAACCCTTTTGTGTTCCAGTTATTGTGATTTTGTTTATTTCAGCCAGTCAAGTATGACTGGCTGATCACATACCTGTGAATTTTGGGAGTTGTTTCAGAACAAATTCCGGGAAAAATCTAGTTGTGGGAAAGCATGAAAATTAATGTAAGTACATAAAACAGACACATGGGACTATATCTTATCATCACTATCACAAGCAGCACAATTCCAATGCAGCAACAATGGATGTTAGACAACATGTGTCCAATGTAAAATACTTACCGATTACACTTTTGGCAAATGATTTATTCTTCAAAGTTGCTAGTCCTAGATCTCCTATTTTGACAGAACCAGTTGTACCAGTAATGAAAATGTTGTCACATTTCAAGTCTCTATGTATCACAGGGGGGGTTCGTGTATGCAGAAAGTACAATCCTTTCAAGATCTGCCGGCACCAGTTCTTCAATACCTTGATGTTGATCTTCTTGAATCTCTTAATGTAGCTACAAAACAAACAATGTCACAATGAAATGCATGTAGCTGTCAGGTTTCGGTTAACATTTACAGAATTTTAGAACTCTTTCCTTCACAATGTATAATGTTGACACTCAGTCAATAGGAAAATAATTTGGATTTAATATATTTTTACACTGAAAGTTCAGATAAACGCTTAAACTGATTTAACATTTGCATGAATAACTGACTGACTGAATTTGGTTTTACACCACTTTTAGCAATATTCCAGCAATATTCCAGCAATATCACGGAGGGGGACACCAGAAATGGGCTTCACTCATTGTACCCATGTGGGGATTCGAACCCGGGCCTTTGGCGTGACGAGTCAACGCTTTAACCATTAGACTACCCCACGCCCCATTTGTATGAAGAAGGCATGTTCAATCTACGATTTAAAATTAGTACACCCAAAATCACTATCTCTGACAAATCATTCGGTGCAGGAATCTGCTATCATATTACTAAAGCAAACAGAGTAAACTATGGCTATCACAAACTCAAATGGACGACGAAGTTCGGTTGTTAAAACTGTAGTTTGCTACATGCATTTTGATTATAATATACAGCAAGTTCCAGGGGGAACAGTATCAGCTCCTTACATCCATCTGTTCGGTATGAACATAGTTTACTGTGTACATATATTCCAGGTTAAGCAGTGTCAGAGGAGACAGGTGTCCCTTTAGTTGATATGGGATCTGAAACTTATACTATTAGGGTTATGACTAGGCGTGAGTGAGTGTGGTTATATGCCTTTAGCAAAATTTCAGCAATAGCCTGGTGGAGGCCACAGTAATGGTTACAGGAGGATAACTTTTTTATACTAGTATGATGAGAAGTTGAGGTATAGATCAGGCCATTACTTTTACATAAAAAATTCTAAAATGCCATTCAAACAGCTACAACCACTACTCCATGGCCCCAACGATCCCTTAACTTGCATGCTTAACTCTTTCAACACCTGTCAAACAGAAACTTTTACTGCTGTGGCAATTTATCATGCATATATTTTCACACTAAACATTGTGTCCATGCGAACTTAGATGTAGAATTGTCGTTTAATTTATCTCTTTATTTAATTTATAAAAAAGATTTGTTTGTAACATCATTATTTTGCTCTTTGAAAATTCTGATGTGGACCCACTGCCAAAGCATGCATACAACAAATGGTTTTCAGAATATCATGAATAATCCTAGCATGTCATGGTGAGGGACACAAGAAATACCTGATATGGGCTTTACACATTCCACAAACATTGGAAATCGAACCCTGGCCTTCGGTGTGAGGAGTGAACTTCCATCCCCTGATAGGGTGAAAAACAGACCCACCCTGGTGTGTACATTACTAACATGATTGGCCAAATCACTGGACAGTGTTATTATCATTACAGTATTATTCATCAGGTCATGTAGCCATCTGATTCATTGTTTTGGCCTCTTGCAAGATATGAGACCTTTTTCCACCACCACAAGAATAATGTAATTTAGTTTTTACTTACGTTTTTAATGTTCCCGAAGTCATCAGTTCTGTTACCAGGATGATAACTTTTCTATTTCGTCTATCTGTTTTCTCCCAGTAATCATAAAATCTCACAATGTTAGGATGTTGCAGTTCTTTCAACATTTCGGCTTCCTCTTTGAATCTCTGGCGCTCACTCTTGTTCCATTTCTTGTCCTAGAAACATCAAATGTTTAGCATCTTACAGAAACATAAAATACATGTCAATATTTACATGGAGTTGTTCACTTATCTGTATTTAATTACAGACAGTGTAGAACACAACATATTTTGGGGGTAAAATTATCACTTTTAATTGAGAAATAATTGTTGTGGGTGCACATATCTAAAAACTTAAAATATTCTGTCTGATGTTACTGCTAACATATAGAACATGAGGCAGATCATTTCAGATGTAAAGAGCTATTATTTTTCCTTCTCAAATATTTAACATTCAACTTTCTTCCTGTATTTATTTCATATGAAATGGCTAGTAAACTAATAAAACACTGTGGCTGAGATATACATATATTGTGCAGCACACAAATATACATGTTAGCATGCATGAAGCGCATCTTAATGTTTTACTATGTACATTGTCATAAAAGAATGAAAAATTCAAAATATATCATTTAAAATTTAACAAATATTCATCAAAGTGACAAGAAATGACACAAAATGCAAGCAAAGAACTTTTCGTAAACATGGTAAAATGAGCAATTGTACAAAGGAGATATGGTGATGATAATGGACGTGCAAACATCAGTGAAATCTGAATCTACCATGCTGAAAGTTTGTGTAATTACAGATTGTGTTGAATGCTGGATGTAGTTTCAATGAAAATGTTTTTGTCAGATTTTCTTCAGGAAGGTAATTTTTTTTGTTTCCATTTCATGTCCAATTTGATATAATATCATTAAAAATGAACAATATTCTATAACCCTGTAAATAATTGATTCAGCTTGATCATACAATTATCTACCTTCTCTGTATCATATGTAACCATATGGTAACTAACTTCAGAAGAAAGATGAGAAGTAATGACACATTACTGATCCTGTATTTGGGCAACTTGCAGCTACCTGGCCTTCCCATAGAAAGTTTGAAGTATGGTTAACCATGAATCTGAAGCAGTCAATCCTAATCTTAATCACTTTATTAATATACAAACTTAACAAAAGGTCTCACAAAAATATTCACTGCACAATACGCATAGACAATAAGAAAATCTGGAGGGTCTAGTTTCTCTATCTCTCTCTCTCCAAATCTACTTATTTCTCATAAGCAACTTGTCCAAACTAAGCAATGGACAAGTAGTTCATGACCAGAGGTGTCCACCCCTGTTGAAGGGGCAAAGGAACAGTTTTACAGGTCACAGTCAAGTGTTCCTTAAGGAACCAATCCATGTATATTTTGCTTTCTCTGGGGCTGCAAATAACAAATGTCAGTCGCTTGGCTTTTTTTATAGTAATGATAAATAGTAAAACTTTTGGCTTATCCCTGAAGTACCTTATGTATTTTAACTTATCCTTAAAGGCTTTAAAACTGGATGATTTGAGTATTACTATTTTTCTATCAAATCATGAAGATTATTCACTGACACATTGAACTGAGGCTGAAAGCATTTAAACAAAACAAGCTTCCAAATACATGAAATACTGGCCATTATGTGTCTTGTATCAAGCAGCTTATTCATATACTGTATTCATCATTTGTTCAAATCATATGGTATTTCTACACATCTGTCTCTCTCATCTTATTGACCAACTAAATCCAGGTACCAATAACCAGTAGCTAAACATTTTCTTCCTCCCTAAATGCAAATCTAAATGAAAACTGAATGAATGTATAAATGTATTGGTTAGATCTTTTGGAGACTACCCCTGATAATAATTTATTGAAAAGAAAACGTTCCTCGATGGTATTAATACAAACTGTATTTAGAATACTAGTATTCTAATTTAGATTGAAAAGTAAAGGTATCCAAATTATCAAAAAGAAACAATAAGGGGTTATCAAGGTGACATCAGGAATCCTACTTTATATACTGACACTGACTTCTCACAGTGGTTGCTATGGCAGACATGCATATTTGATTCCACTCATTTCACAAATCAAGGTCAGTACAGAAAGTTCACTTGATTCTGTATGCAGCATATTTCCCAGAATGTTTCAAGTGTGTAGAGCCAAGTTTCATGAAAAGGTGCTCTACGATATGCCCTACCACTTTACAATGGTAAAAACATTCTTGATTAACACATTCAGATCGAGATGGGTTGTAAAATGTCTTCATTCATGCAGTATTACATAATATATATCTCTAAACACTCATCATTCTAAACTCGTAGCCACTGGATTTCATGATGCAATAAAACTGTGACATAACCCATACAGTAACTCTGGGCCCAACACAAAACATTTCAGTTAAGCATGCCAAAATACCATTACAAATTCTATGAGTGTTGGATGTTTTGACTTGAAAAAAGGCGACAAAATGTGACTACACAACAACAAACTGTGAGGATATTTGAGGGCAGCAATTCAAAATGGTGAGTTTCAAATAGGAATTTGAACCAGTTTGAAGAGACAAAAATTGGTTTATGTAGCCATAGCACATTACAGTGATGCATCAAGTTCTCCAACTGAAGGGAAACAACTCCCTACAAGATCCAGTACTTCACAGGAAAGATCACACATTAAATCAACTATAAAGGATAATAATACCAGTGCAAGAAATTAAGGAAGATCCTGGAGTCCTTGTGATTTATTGCAAGCTCAGATTGCAATGTACAGATTATGATAAACAACCCTTGACTTTTCCATCAATTTCAAACAATAAAAAACCCTTGACTTTTCCATCAATTTCAAACATAGCATAAGCAATGTTGTGTCTGTGCTCTTAAATATCAAGACATTACGGGATGACAAAGATACAGAGATTAAGACATTAGAGTTGTAAATTTATGAGAGTTAGCCCATATCATGAGAAAGATATGAGCCTAGTTTTAGAGTAAGTTGCCAGGTAAATCTTGTTGAACAGAAATAGTAGGCTATTTGATTTTTAATGGGTCAATGACAAGGACCCCCTCACATGCCAGCAGGTACATTAACCAACACATCAGCTCAAAGATATGTCTGATGTTTTAGTTCCATCTGAAGTCATATGATTGAAATGCATCACTGCAATGTCATGTCAGTGAATACTTACATCCGAGGAAAATACTGGTCGGTCCTAAGTAACACAAGAAACGGTTGAGTTGCAATAAGTTTGTACATATTCAAGAAGGTTCATGTTTCCATATGAATTGTGTCAGATGCACTTAATTCCTATTTTCCATAAATAATCTCCCTGGATTTCAAAGATAAACCTTGATTAGCTTATTGTATTTTAATTCATTTACATATTAAATGTGCTCTTTTTAAATATAAGATAATCACAATTATATATGAGTTATTATAATATTATGTTGCTTATTATTTATCAGGAAAGAGAACAATCATTTTAGAACTGGATTAGTTCTGTTTTCACACAGGTGTTGTGTTGTGTTGCGTTGTGTTCTGTGGTGACACTCCGAAACTTTATGGTACTCGCTAGTAAATACTAAAGTCTGATTAGGCAATATAGTGACTGAGGTTTCTGAATTCATCATTTACAAATTAAAGTGAGGATGCATATCTTAATGAACCAGAAACAAGTGTTCTTTCATAAAAGGAATCTGGATAAACATGTAAGCTGAACATGCAAACATTCCAAATGAACAGTTAAAGTGCAGAATACTATTATTCTCAATGAAAAGAAGGGGGCAAAGGCAAGATTACATCTCAGCCAGCTCATTGTGAAATGATTTTAACAAAGCAAGCTGCTCAAAAATATTCTCCCTTAGGTGTTGGAACACAAAATTCTATGGAGCACATTGAAGTTTATTGCTGGAAGTGATGAATCATTACTGTTAAAATAGACTTATCAGATTTGGATAGAGACATTTCATATTCCAAAGGCAACACATATTATAGGAGTACTTTTGGTATCTTTTCTCTAGGATTTACAGTGAAGCATATATTTTGCTTTTACTGAACCATGATAAATTGTACTCTCTCAGACTTAAACTAGTGGCTGCAGTTGCAGACTTTAATTAGTATGATATTTTACTATAAAACATATTATTTATTATTATTCCTATGGTAAATCTAACACTTGATGAATCATTCCTACTGTTGTCCACTAATATATACACACATGTGGTTTAGCTCGTATTGCAACAAATTCATGAGTTACAATTTCTCAAGTTGCCAGGGATGAAAACTTGGTACTTCCGTTCTGCACTACTGGAACCTAAGTAAAAAGCTGGATGTATTCCTTTCCCTAACTCCCAATCACAAATCCCTTGTGGTTCATGTTAAGTAAAAGTAAATTTCTGTCTTATACATTGATATTTCTACATTTCAGAATGCTGTGGCTTCAGAATGTTGTTACAAATTATTTCTTTAACATCAGTCAAATATGGAAATTAATCCATAAATATTTTCCATCAATGGCATCAACCACTACTTCTTGTGTGTATGGCAGAGTTGAGCCAGTTCATATGCTAAACAGTCTCGACAATCAACTGGTACTGATCAATCATAAACCATAGAAGAAAACTCACATCTACAGGGATCATTTTGGATTTTATCTGATGATAGTCAAGGGCCCATGCTGTTAGATATGAGTGGGCACTGTGTCCCATCACAAGTGCGTCAACGAGGTACCAACCTGAATGTTGTCTTAAACAAATCAACGGATTATTTGTCTGTGCACAACTGACTGCAATTTTCTGCTTTATGAGTAAAAGCACAAGGTAACCTTAATCCATAAATATAAAATAATACCTAGCAGAACATAATATATCATTTAAATGGCAAATCAATATGTCTAGTCATGTTTTCTCTGAAATTTAAATGATTTATTTACCAAGTTTCTTCATACATGTCCGTTCATTTGTACATGATTTCATCGAAGGGATACAATGTACATGTACGTACATGCACATTATGCTTGATGAGCCGATTGTGGCATGACGGGAACCCGAGGACTACTGAAGGATGCATTGTGGGATTATGTAGACATATGTGGAAGTTACATTGAAATACATTCTCATTTATCCGTACAGATCCTAAGAAGAAGGAAATAGTTGATG